ATTTAAATGAATATATTTTGTTGTTGACTTTTTAAAAATACGTTTGGATGAGATATGTAGATTAATATTAAAGAGATTTGATGTGATTAGTGAAGGACGACTCAAACTCTCAAAGGAGCGATGTCAATATATAGTGACAGAGCCAAAACCTCACAAGCGGCTTGCGTTGACACATTTCGAGAGTTTGGGTAGTGCCCTACCTAAAAATGTGTCATTTTGATACTATTTTCTAATGTTTCATTTACTTTATAATAGGGTAGGATATATCGTATATGATATATGAGTCATAACTAGAAAATAATATCAAAGTTACTCATTTTTATGTTATCTTTTTTCATCTTTGAAAAAATTTACGGAACTTACAGAGGAAGCATATGTTTCTTTGTTGATCGAGATATATTTTGATTTATTTATGTCAATTTTGTGTACATGAGTTAGTGACATGCAATTCAAAAATAAGAGTTTGTATTATTGATATTGATTTAAAAAGTAGTATAAGTTAAAATAATAATGAGCATAAGTCACAAAATATTTTAAAATATGGTTTGAAACAAAAATTGTTTAACATATGAAAAATTGAAATGAGATAATTGAAATAAATGAAATATAATGTATTTTAATAAAAATAAAAGATTCATTTTTCTAATTTTTCGTTTGTCGGCACTTTTCAATCTCTTCCACTTTTTTCTAATTTCTTCTAGTCCTTCCAGTTTCTTTAAATTTCTTCTAGTCATTTTTAATTTTTCATGTTTTTCTAACTAATTCTAGGAAAAAAGAGAAGAACATGCCTTTAATGTTTAAATTTAGATTTTTCTAGAAAAATATTTTTCGTTCAATCAAACAAATCCTAAGGGTTAGAATCCAAAACAATAATCTCTTAGAAAAATTATAAAATATAACAAAATTTCGTCACATCCGTGTATGATACGTGTTAAAATACTACTAGTAAAAACTACGGAGTATAAAAAAAGAAGTTTATTTTGGACCGAAGGCTGAACTCAACACAAATACACAAAATTAGCTGCTCATGGCCCATACTCATTCCTCCTAAAGAAAGTGCCGATAAGAAGCCCACCTCCATCACTCGCCAACTGGATTGCAATTTTTGAGCCGAAGTTATCGTCCAATCGAAATCAGTTCCGGGCCGGGTTCAAGTGCAAAAAGTCCAATTACTCTGGTGAAGCACAAGCGCAGGCTTAATAAGCAAAGTCCATCTTCTCTTCCAGTAGCCGAATCCGAGCTTCATGGGCTAAATTAAATCAGTGGCCCAATTCCAAGAGTCCAGTTTCCATCGTCGCATCTACGGTCAACGTAAGGCGCCTTCAAATTTCAGCAAAATTACTAAAAAGTATCCGAAAATAAGTTTTCATGTTGATGGGTTTTTGGAACATTGGTTTTTATTCTAACATAAGATTAATGTACTATGATAATGTGACACCATGATCTTGTTTGGGAATAACGTTAGAGATTAGATTAACGTTTTGGATAAAATTTTAATGGTGCAGATTACTTTGAAAACGCTAACGCTAAACGCTGGCCGTAGATAGCCTTTTCAAAACGCGAACCCTAATATTTAACGTTATTCCCAAATAAATCCTATATGCATTATAAATCTTATTTAAAAATAAAAAATATTAAAATGCTCTTTTGTTTCTTTGTCTATATTTTAATTATACCTGATGGGTACATTGGACCGAGTGAAAAATATTAATGTAATTAGCTCAATGTATATAAAACATCCAATTTGTTTTGAATAACATCGTGTTGCTACTGACCAACGTATTGGACAAGTTTGACGGCTTCCCGGTTTGTCATATGTGGCAATCCTTTATGATCCGCAGACGATACAACAGTAACAGAAAAAATATGTTTGGAAAAAAATCAAAACACAATTATTTAAAAAGGTTTGAACGGAAAAAAATAAAACAAAAAAGTAACGAAAAAACATAAATTATAAAGTATTCATTAAAATTAAAATGCTGAAAAAAATGAAAAAATATAAATTGAAAAAAGAATAATTTTTATTTTATTTTAGAAGACTGAATTCAATTTGAACGGAAATCGGTAAATATTAAGTAAATAATAAAAGTGTTATCATTGTAGTAGAAGTGAGGTGTTACGGGTATAAAGTGAGTGATATAGTGTGTGCAATCAACATTGATCTGACATTTAATGACTGTTAATTTGGAATGAGCAGTGGTAAAACACTTAAATAGTGTTAGGGGGATGAAAAATTTTATCATTTCAATTTAATTAAGGATAATTTACCTTAATAGTATTAAAATATAATGACTTTCCCAATGTAGTACTATATATTATTTTTTCTCAATATAGTACCATTGTTCATTCTCGACTAATCATTGTTCAAGTAAATGTTCAACGCCGCTGGATATTGTCCAAACTAAATGTCTCCAATCACTGAATATTGTTCCCGCCACTAGACATTTTTCAAGTACTATTTAAGAAATAAAAAAAGTTTAAATAGTACATTGAGAAAGGACATACAAAATATGTTGTTTTAGTATTATTTAGTTCAAATTTTACTTTAATTAACCATGATTACCTTCAATGGAGTACTTTACTCGGTAACTTTTAAAAATGATTTGATTGTGGGGGGGGGGTCCTATTTTAGTGCAGCACACTATGTATCGAGTAATTATTGAGTAGTTATTGGAGCTGAGGTTCATTCCAAGTTGTGATTGGTGTGACTAGCTAGAATCCAAATATGCTTCTCCCCTAACTTAAAAATAAATTGGAATTCAATTATACGAAGTTTTTTTTATATTTCAACAATAGGCCCGGATATTTATCCATTTTAACTTTTCCAGACAATTCAAGTCATACTAAATAAACTTTGATAATTAATGAATTAAAATTACTGTGTATGTATTAATCCAAAAGAGATTTTATTAGATTTACTGTTGGCGACAGAAGAAGGAAGCCGGATCAAAGAAGGAAACTGAATCCCTTTGGGATTCGGTTTAGTATCTTTCCTAGTTTGCTTAGTTCTTGTTATAGTAGGAATAGAAATATAGTAGGAATAAAAGTTTACTTATATGCTTTACTCTCTTCTTATATAAAGAGAGTTAGATCTTTGTATTCATAGAACAATCGAATATACAGAATATTTTCCCTCTTATTAATTTCTACATGGTATCAGAGCAAGGTTTGAATTCTTGAGACCTCAAACACGCTTCTTCACCTGCCGGTGGGCATACACAATTCAATGCCTACCGGCGGGATATTGTAATTTTTTATTTTCTTTATTTGTTTTCCTTCACTAAAGAATATCATGAACTCCTTTAACGAAGAACATTGCTGTCGAGGAATCCCGCCCAACCATCAATCTTGAAGTTGTCCGAGAAGGGTTGTTCTACAGAGACAGACAACTCTTTCCTTTGCATGCAATAAAAAAAGTCGGCGTTCAGGGTGTTCGAAAAGAATGG